CCGTGTGAGGTTATATGATATTTTTCCGTTTCAACATTAAATATTTTTTCAGAATGGTACGATCTATTACTTTTTTGTGACCATTAAAATTGTAATTTTTTTAAATTATCATAATCTTATTTTTCAGAAAATTCTGTCATCTCGTTTGTGTGCAGTTAGTTAAAAAATTTGTGTTAAATTAACACATCTTACATGTTCCAAACGGTTCACTCAAATTTTTGTGTTAATTTAACGCAAGATGAATATGTTTCAATAGATGAATAGAAAGTAATACAAACATTATGTAAAAATTAATACAAGAAATGTAACGCTTTAATACAATTTGGAATCAAATTGTGGAAACATTATTCTTCAGTAAAATTAACACTTATAACATTTTTAATTAACAAGTATATTTATCTTTTATTCCTTTGTCTTGAAATTTATGGTTTAAAACTACTTTATTTGTATATTATTTATTCACTTACTTATAAATTGTATTATTTTAACATTGATAAATATTGAACATCAATTTAACACAAAATATTTAAATAACATAATCACATTATGTTAATTTAACAAGCAAATATGTTAAAAATTTGACACAGAATTTTAACAAGAACGTGAGTGGACCGTTTTTTACGTAAATACAAAAACATTCTTTACCGTGTAGTCAAAAAAGCGTCTCCGATCCCAATCTGTCACTATACGTATACGTAAAAAGTTACATTCTCAACATTTTTTTTCTCTCTTATTTCATCGATGACCTGCCCCAGAATTTTGCACACGTCAAGTTCGGTACTTCAACTTCATTATATCAAAAAAAAATTAGACATTTCTGTCATAACTCGATTTACTAAAGAACCACCTTAAGCACGACGTGCATTTTTCTATACTAAGATCGATCTATCGGCTGTTTTCAGGTCTTCGAAGATTTGACGCCGGAAGCGCTGGACATTATTAAACCGGACATCTTGCCCCCGATTCAGGATTACGTGGCGAGCCACGTGAACGAGACGATTCATCATCTGACTATGCGGGATCTGTTTCACGTCCTTGTGGGAGAATACGAGTTCGGTGATATCACGCACCTGCTGATACCCTGAGGAGGACGGCCCGCACGTAACCGAAATGCATTCGCCGAACCGAAATTATCGGATCGGCGCAGTTACGAGCGCAACAGCACGAGCTTAATGTGTCCGACAATGCCTGAATGTCTTCGTTCAAGGCGCAAGGGATCGATTCGCCAACCGAGGTACAATGCACCGCGTTGCGAGTGGAAACGAACAATGGCCGCGACGACAATAAAACGCGCGACAAGCCGGAGTTGATTTTAAAGTCAGCTTTTGTATTGCGTAATACGCGTTGACCACTCGAAGGTCTCTTTAACTACCTTGCCTGATGCTCACCTTCGATTACCCATTGTCTTGCCGCAGAAGGATTGTTTTATACGCAACGGTGCGAGTTATTAATTGCCTTTCGTTCATTTCTCTCTCTCTCTCTCTCTCTCTTTCTCTCTCTGTTTATATTTAAGTTACGTTAAATTTATTTATTTCCGAAAATCCTTTTCGCGTAAGATAATCAATATTTGTCCGCGTGTATTTAAAGATTTAAAAATGTTGGATTGTATAACGCACTGCTCGTTAAAGAAATTAAGAAATTAGTTTACGCTTAGAGATTGTATACGTATACGCGATTTGCATGATTCAACTATATACAGTAACTCATCTCGTTAGCATCCGCTTGGAAACCCGTAATTCCGTGCGAAGGCGCATCGTAAGGCTTCCCCGTCGCCCGCCGCGAGTGCATCAGTGAAAGAGGCAGAAATGTTTAATTCATCGAATCGCTCGTCGGTGAATCCCGGCGCATCTCTAATCCGCTGATAAACGGCGAGCGAAAGTATTACGACCTTGAACGGCGACGTCGTCGAAATCTTCGGCGTTGTGCAATCGACGCCGGCCATTCATCCACTTGGGCGGCGGTGATCAATGATGAACGAGACCGGGGACCGTGGCGAGAGGTGATTTTTACAGTGATGAAAACTATATACAGTAAAAATGGCTCGTCATTCTTTTCGAAACTGTTTGTACAGGATAAGGCACTCGAACCTTTTAGCGTGTGACATACGTGGCATCAATTTTCATTCGTTGCCGTGTATGCTGTATAAAATAAATTTCGAAAGTCAAAAGGTTAAAATTGATTTTAAAAAACTATGGAAAATTTTGCGCTTAATTATCTCACTTCATTCCTTTTTTTATAGATAAACGTAATATCAATAATTTTTAACTTACAATCTGATAACAAGATAATAATTAATTGGTAATAATAGATATGCGTATAAATATCTATAATTTTCTGGACGACTATAATTAAAAGAGTTTTCAAATACTCTCTTTTGTAAATATCCCAAATATAGAAAAGAATTTTTCTAAAATTTGACATTTATTGAATAAAGGTATTTAATTGCACGAAATTTCATAGATTTGAAAGCACTATATGTATGATAGTTTCTATTTGAATATTATTCTCTGCTTTTAATTTGCAATGACCAAAGAGATAATCTTTTATAATATAAATTGATTATACAGGGGTGGCCTCAAATGTTTTGGCCAGACTTTGAGATCTTATTTAATTCTGAAAAATTTAATTGTGAACAAAAAGTTTCCAATAAATATGGGTCGAAAGAAGTGCTTCCTTAAAGAGTTATCGTCCAAGAACTTCACGATTATTTTATGCATTTTCACAAATATCATGGAAAATACGCGTCTTTTACAAAAAACCTTAAAACGTATGTCGTAAAAAATTAAATTATTTTTTCAATGGAATCAAAATAAATGTGATATGTTTCATAAGTTTTGAAATAATAATTTAAAATGTTTTAAGGAAGCATTTTTGACCCGTATATGTTTATATCAGAATTAAATTTCCTACAAAATCTCAAAGTCTGATCAAAACGTTCGAAACCACCCTGTATATTGCATAGAAAAATAATTTGTAAATTTATATACATTGTTTCAATTTTAAAAATTAAAATAATTAAACGTCACACACATCTGAAGTGATTTAAAGAATATCAAAATAATTTTTCTTTTTTTTCTTCAATTATTTATTCAATTATTCCGATTATCAAAAATGTCAGTCATTTGCAATGATTAGCAGGTGCGAGCTATTTTTGTTTTAGCTTTTGAATTTCCGGCTGTAAAGTACAATATATAAACCGTGTACAAAATATAATACGTAGCGGCACGTATATAGTTTGCCAAAACATCGTACACTATTAAGTTAATTGTTATACCGTATACATTATACTAAATGCAGTATGCGCCATAAACGTCGGTTAGGATTATAATTATAGAGGAGCGTGTATGATAATAGAATTAATGTTGATGTTTTGTTAACTGTTATAAGATAATCTAGGTGATAAATGTGTACATCGTAAATGGAACCGCATCATTTACCGATCAAGATTATTGCAATTTGTAACAATCATAAAATTTATTGAATATTTATGATGTACGGTTTTGCGCGTGTGTCGAATCGCATTCGTGAAACTTTGTCGCAGTAACGATTTTACGATTAATCGTTTCTACGTGAACACGAATTAATTAAAGAAATAATTTATTTTTCCGATACTCGCTTTTGTCCGTCGAGATAACGCGCATAATAATTTATTGTTAGACCGTCGAACGGAAATCTGAGAGTAAGCGATTCTTTTAAATAATTCAAAACTTTTAAATTATTTACTCAAATTTCTCTTTGATGGTAAAATACAATCGATTGTATCTCGTCCGTATATTGATCTTGTTAAAAATTTTACAATAAATCAAAGGTTGCAATTGTCAGCCCGGCCGTTAAATAAATTTTATTTGATAAATTTTCTCGCAGACCTTCAAATAATATCTTTCATACAATTTTAACGCTCTTCAGAATGACCTGGTAGTGTTCATTGTTGCGATACGGGCGTCTATAATCAATCATCCTCCATCATTTTATCAGACGCTTTTAAACAGATTAAAGAAGATTCCCAATTTCGAGAGTCACCAATTTTATCATTTTTACACTTTTGTTTCACTTTATTTTAGCATCCAATGTTCTAAGATAATCGATTATATAAATCTCTTGTTAAATCAATAGCAAATGAAAAATTGAAGCTACACTGCACGGGCTTATCGATATCGCAATTGCGTAATCATTTTTTTTTACGAAACGATCAGTTAAACGAGATTCATCTCGGGTAGACGACGGCACGTGACGATTATTTCGTATTATTTGTTTCAGCTTTGCAACAAATTGACATACAGATCGAATAGATTAAAAATATATAAAATTGATGAATAAAAAATAATTAAAAGAAATCAGTTACAACACGGAATTCACGGATTATCTTTTATCTCTCTTTTTAATATATATATACATACAGGGTGGACCAAAAGTCTGTATAGTCGACTATTTTGGAAAGAAGTGTTTTAAAGAAAAATGTTTCGTACAAAAGTTGTAGGATTTCAAGTGGCGCATTATACGTATAGCAAGAGGTGTAATCCGACCGTGCGATCTCCACATCTTGATACATCTTGAATGACTTAAATAACGCTAATGCCGGCGGTACTGTACCTTTCAAGCTTCATAACTCGTAAAGTACTTAATAAAAAGAAACTTTATTATACTGTTTTGAAAAGGTCTCGAGATCAGCTGCAAGAATATGTGATAAAAAAATAAGAGTTTCCATTACAAGATTTCAAAGCGATTTTTACGTAACCTTAACAATGCTATTTGAGGTCACGTTAACTTAATTATGTAACGCGCAACTTAAAATTTTACAACCTACTTTTGTATAAAACATTTTTCTCTAGAATGCTTCTTTCTGAAATATTCGATTGTATCCAGACTTTTGGTCCACCCTGTATGTGTGTGTGCGTGTGCGTGCGTGCGTGTATTTATATATGTAAAAACACACAGTTGCTTTAAAAAAAAATGTAATTGCAATATGCAACTACATATTTTTTTTTTAATAACTGATTTCTTTACACCAATCGATTCATTTCATTATTCTGTGCCTGAAAATATCAAGGTATTTATCAAGAAATCAACAGTTTATGAGATATTTTATATTTTATGTCGAAATATGGCATCGTAAAGTATATAAAATATCTCGTAAAGTATTGATTTTTCGATAACTTTACCTTAATACTTTTATGTGCAGAATAATGAGAAGAATCGTATTATATAAAAACATACCTATATAATTCTATTTATAAAAAAATGGATGTGGCATTGACCTGACCTTAACGACGCTACCCAAGATCAAATAAATAATATACCTTATTACGTCTCCCTCCGAATTATACAATTTTTGTTTGAAACATTTTTCCGTATCTATCATAGTTTTTAAGAAATCTTAATACGTTATTTAAAATGGGACACCCCTGTATATAGAATATGTATAATTAACAGTTTAGATATATATCGAGCGAGGAAAAAAACGGCTTTAACATAAATTTCCAATTCTAATTATTATTATGATTTTCGTATTACTGTGACAAATTATTCGTCTACTGTAGAATTGCTGGGCTGAATACGCTCTTTAACGCCTCTAGATGTTACAACGTATACATGCACGTTCGTCACTTAAGCTTCTATATAGGCGTGCTGCAGTTGTACGCAATGCGGTGTAACACCTATTAAGCTAAAATCAATTTATTTGCATGTCGACTGTTAATGATGAAATTTTATACCAATGTGATTCGTATAATCACAAATCTATAGCTTGCTATCTGTATTTTCAAAAAAATTTCAAATCCTCTGCCAGAAGGACTAATAACTACTATACGAATACGTGACTGTCAGTGAAACCTATTCTACAATAGCTGTAAAAATTGACCTACCATATTCTCTTCGTATTCAACTGCGATCGGTCAATTTTTACGGCTTACGGCTATTGTAGAGTAGGCTTACGGATAAAGACTCCGTCCGTTATTCCCATCGAGATGCTCATCTGTTATCGATAACAGCTTATCTCGGGCTGTCGACCGTTTGTTTAACCAAGGCGCGAAAACAAACAATCAACTTTTAAGCATCCGTGAATCAGCGAATTTTGCAGAACGTCGCATTTAGAATTCTTTACAATTTCTATAAAAATATAGGATGTGAGAGAGTTCATATAAGATGTTCTTCAATTTTTTTGATATTCGAAGGTGAGATTATAAGTTAAGTTTAAAGAAAAATTGTTCCGCAGATCATTAAATTTCTCAATTATTTAATGTGTAAATTTGAAAGATGCGTGCACTTGTTTGATAAAAAAGATATTTGAAAAATTTTTAATTTAGAAATGTAGCTTTGACATTTTCCATTTATCTTTAATTTAATATAGCTTGGACAATTTCAACTAATAATGTTTTACGCTTTCAAGTAAAAATAAACTAAGTGTATCTTAATAATTCAACGCAGCCACATTAATTAACTGCTATCTTTAATAATAATTAATAAAAAAAATTATATATCACTAGACGGGGATCTCTAATCAATATATTTGACGAATACTGCTGAAAAAGTAATAGTCATTGATAAATGAGTATGTTTCTACGGAATTAAATCAACGTGTGCTATCGTTACCTCTAATAGATATCATGAGTCTCAGCAAAATGCTATCATCAGCCTGTGATCACGCACGTGCGTGGTCTCCTTCCATCCAATCTCGCAAAGTGCCCTGGCAAAATACTTTCTCGCGTCAATTCTTTTCCACTTCATATACTAAAGAGCAAATCAAAGACTGATGATCGTTGTTTCTTCGTCGTAAGATTAACTCCAGTCATAAATTTAATTAACTCTTGCAGACACCTAGAAACCTGCATAGCTTATTTCAATATGATCGAGATATAAAATTTTAATTAACTTAAGGGAGTATTCCAGTCTAGAAATCCAAATTTTCATGCTACTTTCGCGAATTTTTTTTTAAGGGAAGTATAAAGTTTTTTGGGATGGGATTTTTTCCTACATATTTATATACATATTTAAAGTATGTTTCAAAATATTTGTATTTAAAAATAACCATAAATAAGCGCTGTGTGCAATATATATACTGAGGTCGTGAAACTAAAATTGGCTCCCATTTTATCTTGAAAATCAATTAACCAATCAAATCGGGCTTGTGCACACATCTTCAGCATATGCATGGCTATAGCCCGTACTAGGATCAAAGTCAAAATATACATTTTTTTAATGTTTACAACTATTTAATGGTGAAAAAAAAATTCAAAAATCGAAACTTAATTTTCAAAATGATGTCAATTTTTTAATTTTCAATATTTTTTTTCGTTCTAATACATATAGATATAGCCAATCTCATACTATTTAAGAATTTCTTTGATTTTTTTGTTTTAAATGAGCAGAACTGCTGGAATCATGAGAGCCGTGGACAAATATGTTTTTTCATGACCTCAATGTATATTGTATATACATTGAGATCATGAAATATATACGCTTATTTATAGTTATTTTTAAATACAAATATTTTGAAACGTACTTCAAATATGTATAAATATGTAGAAAAAAACATCCTAAAAAACTGTATACTTTCTTTTAAAAAAATTCACAAAATTAGCATAAAAATTTGGCCTCTAGACTAGAATACCCCCATAAGTTTTAGTAAAAAAATAAATAAATAAAGATTTGTCTAAAGAAATTTTTAAAAATCATATATTCGTTTTATTGCAATTTAACCTGAGATTTGCGTTGACACTTTCGCACGCGCGCTTATTTTAATAAACTTATTCATTCTCTGTCAGAAATTGAAAGGCCTGTGTACGAGCTTTTGCAATTCTAAAATTCTTCGCGTTATTGACGTACTTACGACAGGGTGGCGTTATTGCGTACCGGAGAATCTCGGGACACTTTTTCGTGCGACCCTATTGAAATATTTTCATTCCAGAATTTTATTGGGCACGATAAAATTCAATAATCCGGGCGAGAGATCGCGCGATTACAATTCGATTCAAATGATAATAGGCGAGAGAAGTCGCGCGCGGCGAGTAGAAGGGCGTGGGAAGCTGCGTGTACGCGAATATATCCGCGAATATATCGCAATCAATCGTGTGCCATTGAGGGGAGCGCGTAGGTAAGCAAAACCGATTACTAAAACCGTGGGATGTGTGCAGGTTTGCGCGAATTTTCGATAACAAGTACGCAAGTACATCCTCGTCGAGATGACGCTCCGCGGTCAAAGTCTCGACAATAGATCGAGCGCGCGCACGTGACGTACGTATTTCGCGAGGACTGGATTGTTGCACCGCGAACGCGGAATACAAACGACATTCGTCGTTGATCCGCACGCACGCTATACGTAAGCTTGTTAATTATTCCTGTTCACGGTGTACCGACTGTTTAATGAAAGTGCAAAGCCGTTCGTCGGCTCGGCACTTGTTTTTTTTTCTCCTTCGTACCTACACGTTCTCATTTCGCCGCTGGATAGGTACACGTTGCGACGTTTATAAAGCAAACGCTTTCCATTATACGAGCCTTATACGAGGCGCAATATTTACGAAGACGCGGAATCGCTGTTTCGTCGGTAATTGATTTTTATGACGGCGGTAGTCGCTCACCTTGAAACAAAAACGTTTGGATCCTGTTTTCTATAATAAAATACAAAGCTGAGGACAAAACGCGTAGCGAGAATTCTATTTGTGTACGTAAGAGACGTCCGTTTGTTTAACAAACCGTGTAAAATTTATTTTACACGAGTGAGACATCCGTTCAAGAATTGAAAATATAAAAAGTACGTCACACCGCGTATTGATCGTAGTTTACTCGATTGCGATTGCAAAGTTGCACAGATTCCTTTGCTCTGTTCAATTTCCAGCTTGGCAAG